AATTCAGCCCATTTATTACTGATCACATTGCATAAGTTAAACATTTGTAAACCGTGCTGTTGAATATGCTTTTCTTTTACTGGTCCAAGCATCTATTGGGCTCCTTTAATCATGGAGAATTAAAAATGTATGAGACACTAAAAGAGACAATAGAACATATAGAAAGGAGCAGAAGAGCAAGACAACACATTTAAAACTGTGTGTTGCTTTTAATTCTTTTCACTTGATGTATAGAATAAACTACAAGTTAAGGAGCTGAAACGTGCAAACACAGGTTTTTAAGTCATGCTTTGACTCTAGCGATGATGTCGGTTCATTTAGTTTCAGACTGAAATATCTCAAACATTTGATGAATAGTCGTGATAGTTCATGTCCCCCAGAGGATGAATCGTAGAGGCTTCAGTAATCCCCTGACTTCTCCTCTAGCACCAGCATGAGGCTGACATAAACTAACTTCATTTTCCCCAAACTCATCGGGCCTCGAGCAAGAATCACTGGTCCGATCAGAGTCGTTCTTGAGTGGCATGTACGCGTGATTTAGGAGAACTTTCAACAATTTTCACATATTTGGAATTGGGTTGGAGTTGGTGGTGTCTTTAGTCTCGTTCACATAAAGTTTGGGACAAAGAGACACAAATCCAATCTGTTGATCTTTAATTTATAGCTACTCCACTTTTGTCAGCATGTGGTAACACAATAAACAAACAACACAAAGATGACAAGATCAAAATGTCGCCGTTGACGTATTGTGATGTCTTCGTGGTCAGAGAGGGGCTCAGCCCACATTTGCTGCTCTGCTGTCATGTGGTTGGTTTATGCACAGCGTGTTATGCTGAATTACAGCCCATGAAGGAAAGAATTATGGCTGTTTATTGCAACCCCCTCATGCTTTGAAGTGGAGATCTGTACGTCGACGCGCACTACCTGGGCTACGGTTCACATGCAAGCAGAGCCATAAATACTGGACGTCTGTCAGTGCAAAAATGTTGTCTGGCTTCAGCCAATAGAACAGAATCAGGCAGGAAATTACAGTTGAAATGCTGGTTGTTTCTCTGCCAAAGTAACTGGCAGTAACTACCAGCAGCCGTCTTGTTGACTGGTGACTGGTGTTAATTAGGTTATTATTACAATGTGTGTTTATGTGCTTGTGTGTGCATTTGCCTGCAAATTTGGCAACCGCACGGTGGGAACTAAGCGAGTCTTGTTGAATGTGCGTCTGTCCGGCGGAAAATTGACGTGTCACGTTAGTTATTCTGGAGCCTGCTGGAAGGGTTGAGATAGTAGCAGGTGATGTCTTTTAAAAACCCACCAAACCCCTCAGCCACATGTCCTCGTCACTCCGCGCACATTACTCATCCTGGAGGCATGTACGCAACGCACACATCACACGCATCACACACATCACACACAGATCTTTTTTCCAGCGGAGCAAGTTGTAAATTCACTTGTCAACTCAGCAACTTGGATTTTCTTTCATATCTCAAGAGCTTAAAGTGAACACTGAAACAACCGGGAGAATCAGTTTCATACTTTCATTTTAGAGTTGTTTTAAATCAGGATTTCTTTGCCATGTTAATCATGTATGTGTTTATTTTAAACACAGAGAAACACACAACCAACATCAAAGCCTTCATGTTTTCAGTGCGTCTTTAATGCAACAGTAGATAATCTCCACACTAACCTGAGCTAAGCCTGACAACGTAAATCACATGACCATCAACAGATTGCTGCTGGACACAAGAATTGTCGCAAAGTTTGCCTCCTGCGCTTGTACACAATATTAACGTTATAAAATACAAACTGCACAACAGCTGCCAGCGTAGACGACACGGTCAGAAACCCTGTAATACGTTCTCCATCTTGAAATGAAGCGCTGGTATAAAAAGCCCTCAATATGTACGCCCTAAAGCATCCCCTGCTTTATGGTCTGTTTGACTCTCAATGGACCATCATTTACTAAAGGAACATCATGCTGTATTGAAGAAGACTTGAGACTAGAGATTGAGACCATACATAATGTGGATAATGTCTTTTATTCTGTAGTGTGATTTGATTCGTAAAGTCTTACAGATGACTTGTATTCTTCATGTTCTTCTAGACAAATAAAACCATTCAGAGAAGATCAGTTTAACATATTTTACATCATGAAATCGGTCTTATAGATTCTCTCTTCTGTCCAGTTTTCCCTCCTGATTCAGAGCGTTTCAGTCTTCGTGGTGTCGCGATCCGTCGGACGTGTGCGTCCGACTGTGTGAAATAGTCCAGAGTAGCCGTGTAGTTATCATTCCTGAGGTCTCTGGTGAGTTTTGTCTCAGTCATTCGATCTGTAGGAGGGTTTGTCCGACCTCTGGTCCCTCCCCGCCGAGACGGCCTCCCGGCTGCAGGACTCCGTCTAGAGAGAGTCGCTCTACGTCCTTGTGTAGATGCACACACACACTTCTATTTAACCGGGTTCATTTTAAGATGGTTCTCAAGAGAGACGGGAAAGTTAAAGGACCAAGAGAACTTAGAAGCCAGTAAAGAAGCAGAATTTCATGAAGTGGAAATAAATAAATGACTAAAAGAGAACCCAGGACCTCTTCAGATCATGAGTAATAGTTAAAGCAATAAATAGGATCTTAGTCACATTGCAGAACCTTCCTTCATCCTTCTTCTTCCTTCTGTATAGAAAGGTTCAGATAGAGGTCTTCTGCCTCACCACCACTATTTTTAACAAGGCCTGAAAGCCAATCATTGGACACACACACAGTCTCTTAGACAGGTGCCAACTTTTGTGCCGAAAAGCGTGGTGTGTGTGTGTGTGTGCGTGTGTGTGTGTGTGTGTGTGTGTGTGTGTGTATGAGTGAGTGAGAGAGGGGAGTGACTGTGGGCTGCTGTCGGGAGGAATGCTTTTGACCTCTCCGGCCTCGGCCGCCGTTGGGCTTTGATCAAACATTCCTCTGGAAGTTTCCTGCGTTGTGCCGTCACCGGGCAGAGACGGAGGTTTGATGTGGAAGAAGAGTCATTTATTGTTTGATTTATGTTTTATTCTTTTTACAAGCTTAAGAAGAAAACATTTGCAGAGTATACTCAAAACAAACCGAAACCAAAGACATTATTGGTTCTAATACTTCCACCTAATCTCCATGAAGGATGTTAAACCGCTGCTTTTTATTCTATTACAATCAATACTTCAAGCTGAAGTGACGTTTTACTTACTATATTTAGTTAAAGTATCTCTAGACTATATTAAAAATAATAAAAGAGAATAAACTGTAGACAGAGTTGTGGTTATGATTGTGTGAGTTACTGAAATACAAACTAAGAAAAAATGATCCGTCACTGGTCAGCCGTTGTAAACATTGTTCAAACCCACATTTATTTTTATTGGATATCCCAAAGTCTCCAAATACGTCATGTAGAAATCTAGAGAAACATAAAAGTAGTTCAAGTTCTTTTTTTTTATTGTTTATTGATTTGTGCTCCTGCAGATTTGAATAAAATTAATATTTAAAAAAGGGAAAAATAAGTGGAACAAAAAACCTGTTTAGGATCTAAGACCTGAAATAGTGCAGCAGCTAAAATACAGGAACATAATAAAATATATATAAAGTTAAATATAATACTGTGGTAGCCTGACGAGTATTAGTGAAATGTATAAAGTGTAACCTTCAAACTTAAAGGGTAGTGAAGTGATGTGTAACATCTAAAATGTTTCCCTATTGATGTAAAAGTGAGTTAGAGCAGAAACGATGAATGCTTAGTAGAGTTATTGTTTCTCTCTCTCCACTCTGTGAAGATCTTTTTTATTCAGGAGGAAGTTGCTCCGTTTTAGGATTTATTCTCTATGAAAGCTGTGTTATGTGTTGTAATTTAGAAATGCACAAACTATAGATTTATACTTGTCTTTTATATTTAGAACTGCGCTTTCTGTTCTCCAACACTGACTCTCCTCTCTCCATCTCTCACTCGCGCTGTGTCACATGACCCGATAACAAACACAAAGGTAAACAAAAGTATTTCTCCGGAGGCTTCTTTCCATAAAGTTCTCGGACACCGATCAGAACTATCCGAGTCTGTCGGTGGCAACAACGAGCTCTTTTAGTGGACGTTCACTGCAGCGTTCTTCCTCAATACTGTAATTCAGATACGTGAGGAGAGAGTGGGCTTCTGAGACGCTTTGGTGTGAGCAGAGAGAGGAGCCTCGTTAGGGAGAGGGGAAGTTAATGTGGGGGATTCTTGATGACTTCAGGAAAACGCATGATGTGGGTGTGTTTTTAGGACGGGAAGTGGTGTGTGTGTGTGTGTGTGTGTGTGTGTGTGTGTGTGTGTGTGTGTGTGTGTGTGTGTGTGTGTGTGTGTGTGTGTGCGCGCGCAAAGAGACTTAAATCAGATGAAAGTGAGTTATTTTTGCAGGAAGACAACATATTTTTAGACAAAAGAGGAGAGTGTGTGATAGAAGTGTTTGGAGTCTTGTTTCGGTCTTTGCAAAGCCGTCCGGAGGAGAGACGAAGCCATTGGCCGAGGAGGGAGGGTCTAAGTACAACAAGGAGTCTGTAGGACGTCTTGTGGACGGAGAGCCTCGATTGGCTGCAGCCAGAGAGAGAGAGAGTGTGTGTGTGTGTGTGTGATCCTGTAAGGAAGCAGAGGGGAGAAATCCGAGTGTGCACAAGGAAAAGGGGAGGTGAAGAAGAGGACGAGTCGGAGGGTAAAGATTGGAGCGAGGAGACGAGGACAAGAGGGTGGGAAAGAGGTTTTCTTTGTGGCAGATGAAGAGCTGACGAGGGAGAAGGAGAACAAAGGAAGCAAGGGAGGGAGGGTGAGAAAATTCAAACTGACAGGATTAATGAGAGGGAGTAACAAGTGAGTAGTTCTCTACTGCCAAACCAAAGACACACCAGAAATACCCATTGAGAGGGAGCGCAGTGACAGGAGCTGGTGTTTTTAGTGTGTGCCGCTCCTCCTCCTCTTCTTCCTCCTCCTCTCAATGCTGTTGTTGGCCTTAACTGCCGGCGGGTCACTGGGGCGCCACTACATCGCCATGTTCGAGGCCTCGCAGAACGTCACGCTCAAGCCTACGGAGAGCTGGAGGGAAGCGTTGCTGGACACCCGCGTCATGGACCTCTTCTTCACTGTGAGTATCCCGTCCGTCTCTCCGGAGTCTCTGAACAGACTCATACTTGTTCCGGGTCACATCTGTGTCCTCCTTTCTATTGTCTTTTTAATGGCGTTACCAAATGAACCTGTCAACACCTGCAGATGCACATCATGCTTGACTTTGTCAGTGAATCTGCATCCGTGTGTCTGTGTTCCTCCTTCATTTGTATCCCTCTAGATGTTTATTTATGATAAACACAGTTGCATGTTGGACAAAGAGTGTCTGCAAAGTTAAAATAGGTTAACGTCTTTAAGCTTAATCTGAACTTGTCACAGCGGTTTTAAGTTTGTGTGTTCGCTTCTATTTCCTTTTAACTGGCGTTACCAAAAATGCAAAATCTTTTATATTAAGTTGTTGAAACCTGCAGATGTCAGATGCACTTATTGTTATGGATCTGCTTCCGTCCGTCCGTCCGTCCGTCTCCCATCCATATCTTTCTGTCAGGGAGGTCTCTGTCCTCTTCTACCCTCCTCCTCCTCCTCTCTAGATGGCGGTTTATTTATGATAAACAAAGAGCAAAGACGTCTCACTTGACCTCGTGTTTTTTGGCGCGTGTGAGGTTTTCACTGGTTTTGTGGGTATTTTCTGCGGACGCACCATTAAGCTGATTTATGGGTGCTGTGCAGTGGGGTCGTGTTATTGTGTTTCTGTCCAGAGGACCGCCCGGTGAAGTCACTGTGTATTTTAGTGCCGTGGCTTTGTGTGTTTTAAGAGGCGGCCCACGCTGGCTTACTGACCGGTGTGGGAGGAAGAAGTGTGGAACAAACCGGTCAGTTCAGCATCCATCGCCAGATACTGCTCCACTACTCGGCATGTCTGCTGCCCTGCTGCCAGATACTGCTCCCCCCCTTTAGGCTTTACCTGCCACTACCTGTCTCACTGCACTGCCTCTGTCTGCTCCACTACAGTCC